TCCACGGCCCCACCCCTCGCAGCAATGAGCAGTGGCGAGCAGTTGTTGTAGATGCTGCCCACGGGGCTGGCCCCCGCGTCCAGGAGGACCTTCACGCATTCCCGGTGGCCGTTGCTGACCGCCATGAAGAGCGGGGTTTGAGCCTTCACATCCAGGCTGTCCACCTCCGCCCCGTGGGCCAAGAGGACCTTCAATCCAGGAGGACCTTCACGCATTCCCGGTGGCCGTTGCTGACCGCCATGAAGAGCGGGGTTTGAGCCTTCACATCCAGGCTGTCCACCTCCGCCCCGTGGGCCAAGAGGACCTTCATGCTCCTGACACGGCCCCACGTGGCGGCCAGGCGCAGTGGGGTGCTGGGTACGCCCCAGCCGCTCCTGCGGTTGATGAACCTCTTGTACCTGTCTTGAGACAAGAGGTTATCCAGGGTTTGGTAATTGTCCTCAGATACCGCTCGGTTCAGCTCCTCGCTTTCTCCGTTGTCGTCTTCATCTTCTTTGGGCTGGAGCATGGAGAACATTTTAGTGATATCCATTAGGCTCATTTTTTTTTGGTCTGTCTCCCACGTACCACTTTCATCGTAAATGGTAAAGCCAAAGATCTACGGGACAACAAACACCATCACCACAGGGTTAGAACCAGCCCCCTGACACCAGCACCACCACCTTTTTATATTTTTATACACAATTTAAGGTAGATTCTCAAAAAAAAAGACAAATAGTATTGGATTATGACGCTGCTGACGTGCTTATCGTCCTATCACCACAGGTGAGGACATCCACACTGGTGAAGGTCTAAGGCAAAGACAGAGGTCCTTGCTGTAGCACGTACGTATGCCACCTCCCCTTCAAATGTTGTGGTCAAGAACGCGCTGAGATAATTGAATCTGGTGTTGGAGTTCAAACGCTGCACAGGGGCACTCAAAGGCTTTTACTTTGTTTTTTTTTTAAATTATTTAATGCTGTACCGCTAGCCCCTGAGGTGGTAAAGGGTGTGAGACTGCTCACACCTTGAGCTCAGGAATGCTCCTGGGTGGCCACAGGCTCTTGCAGGACCCTGCACCCCACTGGTGGATGAAGCCTCCCATTTTCCCAAAACCCTCAGAAGTCACCCCATCCAGCTGCTCCCTGTGAGAGCTGCCGAGTGAAGAGCACCTTGCACAATATCAGGAATCAACTCTGCTTCTTATCAGCCAAGGCTCATGCTGGAAGCCTCAGCGGCACCTGCACTTCCAAGTATTTTGGGACCCAGAGAAAACTCGCAGGAATTTTAATTTAGGAGCCAGCAGCACTGGGAGGTTTTTACACCCTGCCACTTTCTCAAGGGACTGGATTTCAAAATAGGAGATGAAGTGAATGCGAAGGCGGCTGGTTTGATTAAGGAATTTGGGGAAAAATCTTTTTAGTAGGGCCAGCTGTGACAGGACAAGGGGTAATGGTTTTAAACTAAACCAGGGTAGGTTTAGACTGGATATAAGGAAGAAATTCTTTACAATGAGGGTGGTCAAACACTGGAACAGGTTGCCCAGAGACGTAGTGGAGGCCCCATCCCTGGAAGCATTCCAGGCCAGGTTGGACGGGGCTGTGAGCAACCTGATCTGGCTAAAGGTGTCCCTGCTCCTGCAGGGGGGTTGGGCTGGGTGACCTCTAGGGGTCCCTTCCCACCCAAAACATTGATTCTATGATTCTATGAATTTCAGCATCACCTTTCCCGAAACGTCAGTCTTTGAATTCAGCAAACCCTCTCCTCTCTCCTGCCTACTCGAGCCCGAGGAGCACAGCTGCAAGGATCTGGGATTTTTATAGCGGGGGGTACAGGGTGGCAGGAGGAAGGTGAGGGGATGCTGAGCTGATCACACCGGAGCTGGCACTGAACCCAGACACGTTTGCCAGGCGCTGGGTGCAGGATCTGGCCTCGCCGTGGTCAAGCGGCAGCAAAGGAGAGGAATGCGATGCCCCGGCCGGCACCTGAGCAGCTGGGAAACGCCGCCCGCCGGGAAGGACAGAGGAATTTCTTGCTGCGTCGCAGCCCCGTAGCATCTCGGATTTCCTTGGGGAGAGGCAGCAGTGGCAGAGCTCGGTCTCCCCAAGCAGCTACTCTGATCCTCCCTTGGAGGAGGGCAAGGGGCTGCACCGAGCAATTAGCCTCTTTCTGCAAATGAGCCTGGCGGTAACGAGGCAGTCACGGGAGGCTCGTCCCACATCCGCCTGCGGTGGCGAGATGTGCAAGCTCGGAGGAACCCCCCGCACGAGGCCACCTGCGCAGCTTCGCACCTTGGTTAAGTGGAGCAAGTGGGATGGCAGCGAGCGATGGCAAAGCTCTGCTGCGCTTCCACCTGTTACGCTAACCCAGACGATTTATGCAGAAATATGTGAAATTATAGCATTATTTGATTCGTTAGACATGCCGATAACGAGCTCTGGAATCCCCCCACCTACGTGGATAATGGGGTGAGGGGTTTATTGCAGATTCAACCCAAAAAGGTGGCCCTGTTATATGCCCAAGGGAAACCATCTGGAAAAGTGAAAAAAACAGCTGTAACATTTCCTGAACACACAAATAAGCATCTCCAAAGGGACGTTACTTTGACAGCGTAAGCACTCACGTGTGGAGCTCAGAGATGTTCCTCAACCAGAAGAGCCCAAAGCAGAGCTGTCACCTCTTGAGCTGAAGGAAGCCGTCCAGGCATCTGCAGACCCCCCCCAAAAAAGAGGTTATGACTGGAGCTAAAGGTGACAGAGAACACACTCACGCTTTTACAACCGGTTACCAAGTTACCTTCAATTGCCCGATGCTGCCTAGTCATCGTTATGCTGCTGCCTTACCTTTGGGAGGTAGGTGATGCTCACAGCCAGGGTGGGCGAGGCAGCAGCGGTCCCACGCCGAGTTCTCCCTTGGTTTAAACAAAAAAAAAAAAAAAAAAAAAAAACAAACCAAACAACCCCAAACAAACAAACAAAAAGAGGAGAAAGAGAGGGGATCTTGCTGTGTCTGGGATGGACGTCCGCTCTGTGCGACCAGAACGACGCAGGCTGTCAAGCTCACAGCTGAAATGCCACCGCGGGGAGAAGGGCCAGGGCGTTGGGGCTAATTTTAGCCCCTCAGGGGTTTTATCTTACTACTTCCATTCTTGGAAAGTTCCCCCTGGGTAAATATAGAGAGGGGCAGCGAGGCAGGGGGAGGCTGGGACAGGTGCTGGAGGCTGCTTGACCCATCCGGGCAGACACAAAGCCTTTGCCTCACTGATTCCTTGCAGAAATCGCAGGGTACCAGGCAGTTTTGGGGCCCCTGCCAGGGCAGCGCATTCCCTGCTGCAGCACCAGCCTCTACGTTATCTTGGTCGCTGCCAGTCACCCAAACAGATTCCCTCTTAACCCCTCTCCTGGCCGCCTTTTCCACTCTCATGAATGACCATTCGCAACATCCAGAACGGTTTACAAAACACAAGAAGGACAAAAGGCACTGGGGACGGCCCAGATTTCTCGCCGGAGCTGCTCCTTAGGCTTCCCTCCCAGCAGAAACCACTTCTTTGGCTTCATAAAATGAAGCAGCACACAGCAAGGCAGGAAAGTTTACAGGGGCAAACAAGCGGGAAGCAGTGTTCGGGCCGCCTTATCAAAAGCTGTCAGCTGGTAAGTGTAATCGTATTTTATCCAGCTCCCTTTAAACCTTTTCCAAACTTTTCAGCGGTGGAGCAGGAACGGCCTGACAGTTTGTTATCAGCGGTACTAGATAACGAGAGGGGAACCAAATTATCCAGCAGAAAAAATCTCCACTGCTGCAAGAAGTAAAATCGGGGGGCTCTGCAGAACACTTATGACGTCCCCGCCGTCAGCACCGCACTCACACTGTGAAAAGCATGGAGAGCAGGAAAATGTTCAATATTGATAGGTTCTAGACTTTTGGCTCCCTCGTAGTTTCACTCTCTCCAAATTCACTCAAAAATAGGCCGTTACTTCAAAAAGATCAATTTCCCAAAGTCAACACCACGGATGGAATTATTGAGTAGGAGAAATGCGGACAGACATGGGAGCAAAGGCAGGGAGTTCAGGGTTTATTTTAAGTGTCAAGAAGCTGCAACCACAATGGGGACGCTGCAGTCAGAAAAGCCAAGCCTGACTGGAAGCCCCTTCAACAAAACGCAGAAATAAAAGCAGCAATTAAAGACAGTGTATTAGAACAGGAGAAGAAGGGGATATAGACAACAAAATGAATACACATTAAAAATATAAAATGCAGGAAGCTGTAAGGGAATGTAGAGATGAAAGGAAAATCCTTGAATGGAAGGTTTAATGATAAACTGCATATTCTTTTGTTGTTGCTGCTGCTGCTTAGTTGTTAACCAAGAAAAGAAATCTTAGAAACAAGACCAGCTCTTTGGTAGGGAACAGAGATTAAACCGAATACTAATGAAGCAAGAAGTACAAAGTACTCTCTGATAAATCCACCCTCAACTGGAAGCACGCGAACCGAAATGCTCATTGTGCTCCCTTAACAGCCGAAACCCCACGTTAAATAGCATCCCGCACGAGTATTTAAATCCGCAGATTCGGATAAACCCCAAAGGGAGCCCAAGGAGAGGCAACTGGTAAGTCTGACCCATTTTGGATAAGCTTCACAACGCTGCGGAAGGCTGGGGAGTCGGGAGAAGCCTTCGCCTTCTGCCTGAGCTCCAAGCCCAAAGGGGCTGCCCCTGAGCCGCCGGCTGGCCTGACCCGCGCTCCAGGCAAAGCAACTCCTTTATCAGCTCTCCGTTAACTGGGGAAGAATTACAGGGCAGAAGTATATTTAATGCCAGTCAAGAAGGTTTTTTGGGAAGGTAAATCCAGTCCCACAAAGTTGCTTCCATTAAAGAGATTACAGTTGTTATTAACGCAGCTGAACAGAGGTAATGAGCTTTCTGATTTAACACCGCTAAGCATTCAGATTTGAAAGTTTAGCGCTAAACAGTACCAAATAAATCATTTTTGCAGGGATTAAGGATTTACTAACAGTTCTCAAGGTCGGAAATGCACAGTTCTTGCGTGAGGCTACTTCTGACTCCTGCCTCTGGACTGTAAGTCACTGCCAAACCGCAGCAAAGCCTTTGAACTTGGGAGTTTCCCTCCATGCCGATCAAAACTTCTGCTCACAGCTTTCCGGCATTTACACCTGCCCATTCTGCTGGCCACCTCCTCACCACACAGCTTGGAGGTGGCTCCGTGATTCAGGTATTTACCACGAGAGGGCACAAACACCTGCAGACCATCCCTTGCCTACACAGCACCCAGGGCCCCTTCTTAGGCGCATCACAATTTAATGGGTGCACTAACGTACAAAATACGTAGTTAGAATGGAAAGAGGAATCCAGCGACTGTTTCTTCTTCTCCACGAGCTGTAATTCCTCGAGGGATTTCGGTAGCATCAGAACCCCAGAATTTTGGTGGCATTCTGAGATGGCTCTCTGCCTCCACCGCCTTCCAGGAGCTGCTTTCCTTTTAGATCTGAGGATGCACTGGAGCCAGCAGCTGTGAACCGATGCGAGATGATGATCATTAAGGACCTGGAATAGAGAACCCAAAGTCAGAATGTGCCCGCTCTTCATTATGCAAGTTATCTGCGTGACACCAATCGGTCACATAAATCTGCCTGTGTGCCCCCAGTACGCTCTGCTAAATGTGCTCCAGGGCTGGCAACGCTTAGGGGTTATTCCTGGGAGAACGAGAGGATCTTCTCCGCTTCTATTTTACAATACTAAAATGTGCTGGGTTTCATTCCAAAGCCTTGAGGATGAAGTAAAACTCTCATACTCAGCTCTGAGTCATGCCACCCCCAAAAACATCTTTGCCCTGAGATCACAAACCATATATTCAGTAACTGAAGGGTTTTTTGATTATTCAAAATATCAGGCAACGAGAGCAGGCACAGGAGAACTCTGCTTTTCAAGGATTCTCCAACAGCAGGTAAGACTCCAACACCCACCTTTCAGAACCAGAAGTCCAGATCCGTGTGAATTGCCAGGTTTAACCCAAACACTTTCTCTAGCCACGCACATGCTAGATCACTGCACAACACAGATCATTGCTTTAAAACATTACTGGTCATACAACCAAAAAAAACCAGGAAAAGGAAAGTAGCAAGTTCTAAAATGCTGTATGAAGGGACATGTGCATAGGATAAAACACAAGAATTGGACCAGATTTCCTTATGATGGCAAACAGACTCCTCATCTCTTCATCCTCGCCTTGGTTTCTCCTTTGTCAGGTAAGATCTGTGAGAGTCTCTGTCCTCCATCACCAGGGAGGGGGCTGCCCTTATTTACTGTACATAAACCAAACACTTGCAGAATACTTAAATTTTGGAGAGTCAAGGCAGCCTTTGGTCCGTACGTCTGCCTGGGTCACAGTGCGTTAGCCTGCAAAGCGGTGGGCCGAGAGCAGCACCTGCTAATTCTGCAGATCCATACATGGGGTTTTAGCAAGGGCAGGTAATGTATATATTTTTCTTGATTCATGCTGGATTCCTTGCTTCTCTCCCACAGCTGAGCAGGCTCCAAGATCTGTTCTTTGCTGAGAGAGAAAGAAGAAAAAAAAAAGGTCAGATTCAGTAAGTAGTGTTCACTTTTCCCAAACCCACTGCAAAAGAGCCATGGGAAAGAGGGCTCTGGTCTGACTTACAGAAGGGTTATTACTCTGAAGGCTACCGGGCTTTGTATTCCCCCCCCCATGCCCTCCACTCCCCCCAAGTGAAAAAAAACACAAGTTACAGAACACTTGAGTTTAGAAGCATGCAAGAGAAATTACAATTAACACACCTTCTGCTTATCATTAAAGAAACATTATTCAGGACAAAATGTCACTTATTTTGGGGATTTGAACTTTGGAGGATCTGCCGCAGCCCCACGCCAAGGATCGAGTGCATCTCCCCTCTCAGCAGTGAAGGGCTACGGCGAAGGTTCAATCCTGTTTCTGTGCCATACTGAGTGCAGCGAGAGCATCTCATGTCCTTGCCTATGTAAAGGGATTAAAAAAATGCTCTTTCTGCTGCTAGTCTGGGTTAGCTTTTTTTCCCCCCCTCTTAAAAGTCATCAACCCAAAAATCTGTACTCTACCTTCAGTATCGGAGGAGTTTATCCATTTCACATACACGCATGAAGCCTTAACACATCTCTAGCAAATCATCACCGGCATCTTTAACTGCTGGGTAACTGAATTGAGTAAAACTTGAGTATAAAGGTACATTGCTACCAAAAAAAATCCAAGTATTATTTCTCTACTGCAACAAAGAACGCACCGATGCAGAACAAAAATGAACCAACATTTTAAGGTGTCCTTGGCACATATGAACCTGATTCACTTATCTGATTTTTCTATTTGAACTTAGAACAGCAGACTTTTCCTCAAAACGGTGATTTTTCAGACCATACCTCCAATTAAATTTACTCATCAGTATTTGTACTCAGCGTAAGGTATTTCCTGGGAGCTGTTAAAAACACAAGTCTTTAGCAATATTCCTACGACGACTCTAAATGGAACCCGCCCCCTCAAAGCTAACGTTAGCTTCAGGAGGGAAGTTTTAAATCACCCTCAGCAAAAAAGCTGTCAGACAGTAAGTTCTCCCCAAATGTAAATTACGGTTTTATCAATTCCAGTCAGTGTTAATGCTAATAATCCAATTAAATTGGCAAGACTAATTTAGGTAAATTAAGGATTTCACTGGCAACATTAAGAAGATTTAAAATTAGCAAGGAGGGAAAAAAAAAAAAAAGACTTTGAAACATCTGGGGACTGAGTATACCCAAGCGTCAGGCATATTTTTTGCCTTAATACATAGAAAAGAAATACCCATTTTTAGGATGCATAGCGCAGGGGAAAAATATTCATCAGGGGCTGGGTAACAGGAATTGGTCTCAGGTCTATTCCTCGTGCTCACAGCCTTGCCCCTTCCTGATGGATAATTCAGGACTCTTGGTATTTAGGATTAAAGGCTGAAGGGTCTGGTGCCAAACTGGCCTGGGAGAAACGGTTCCTGTCTCTCCTGCTGACCTTCAGCACGTTCTTCTGCGAGTCACATCCCCATCCCTCAGTTCCCCCATCTCCCACGCCCAGTATTAAAAACCTCTGAATGCTCGTTTTAAAATGAGTTACTGAAATAGCCAGGCACAGATTTAAACCTTTTACGTGAATTTACCCATCCAAACGGCATCCTGAAGCATTTTGTAAAGCCTTGTAAACATCAAATTAGCTCGTATCACCTAATTCCTCCCTGCTTTGCACATCTTTCTTTAATTTGACCACTACTGCACAGCTGTAAGTTATTAAAGCACCAATTCCAACCTTGGTTATAAACATGAGGCAAGTTTTGCACCTGGAATCTCTCTCTTCCTTGAGCATTCTCCCACCGCTCTTGAGTTTGTCTGCACTCAAGAAAGCCCCCACCTTGACTCATTACTGAAGCTGCAATTAAAAAGAATTGGATAAAAGAGCATTTTTAAATGATACCATAGCAGACAGACCACAGATTCTTCACTCAAAGCTATCAAAAAAACCAAAACAAACCTCTTCACCTGGTACCATGTGATGCCCACAAAGGTCAGACTCAATCCCTTAAGGCAGGCTGGAAGAAAGGTCTAGCTGCTTTTCAGAAAGCTTTTTACACCAGCCTGGAGCCACCTGCAGACAGACTTATCCATGGGTGTGAGGGATAGACAGCTTTCCAGGAGGAAGACGACACTGCAAAGGTAGTCTGTTTTAATACATAAAAAAAAAAATACTAAAAAAAAAAATAAATCAGAGTAACAAAACATACGGAAGATACAAAGATTTAATACAGCTTCATCGTGATTATTACTTTTTGGGGTGGTTTGGTTTTCTTTTTTTAAAGACAGCGAGCAGCGCTGTACTCAGCAGTCCCTCTGAAACCAGTGAAGTCACCCAGTTTCTCTTCTGTAAAGGAAGGGGAAGTGGAATCACACTCACTTTAAGATAAGCTCACTGCTTGAGAATCTTTAATTGACTTCACATTTCAAAGTGTAAAGTTCCACTTTGGGTTTAATGGACCAATAAACAGACTAGTCGTGTGCTTTAAAAAGGCAAGGTATTTATTTTTGTAGGGAATAAAAATAAACCGTAAGACAAGTGAAACTTCATGGAACAAATACATTTAGAGAAAAAAAAAAAAGACACAGTGCTCCTCTAAACATGGTACACTTTTTTTTTTTTTAAGCAGTGCATTAACTGAAATGACTTACATGTATACAGCCATTGCAGCACATTCAAGAATAGGGGATTTCATCATCCACAATTTTATACAACTGTCCCTCAACAGTTACACTGACAAAAATAGTGACTGACTGACAGAAACAGCAAAAACATTTACAGTTTTCAGCCGAGTACTACACACAATTTTAGGTACGTTCCTACAAAGATCAGTTTGTGGATGATAGGGAAAGTACATATGTGTGCTCAGGTACGTATGACTAGATCCAGTGCTACAAGTTATTCCAGTAGTACGCTGCCACATTAAATACAGACGCATATACATAGATAAATGATATGAGAAGAGATATAGGTCAACCATTTTAACCTACCCTCCTTCTGCATTGCTTTTGTAGTTCAGAAATGCCAAAAGGCCGCCACGCTGTACATTAAAATACATGCCCTAACAAATTACACCGACTGCAATTGGCACCAACCTGGCTGCTCTTAGTGCTAAAGATGCTTATGAAAACATGGACTTTAACATCACCTGGTTCAAGACATTCCTCATCTAATTAATCAAGTGCTGTGTATTAATTAAAACAATACTACTACATTCAGAACAGATTCTTCCCCCCACTCCGCCCCGAGGCATGGGAAGTGCCTATATGTGCAAGAGGGACAGTATGTAAACAAGGAGTAACTGTGTTAGGTCCGTACAAAAAATGACCCCAGCACTCAACGCAGAGTGGTAGGGAAGGGGAGAAGGGCAAAACAGCAGATGCGCTGTGAATTCTCCTGGTCACTCACGAATATTCATTGCTAACTAGTGCCAAGAAATGGTCCCTTTGGGGGAGCAGCCGTCAGGCACCGAAGCTACCCAAAGACTGGTTTTGCCAGAAAGCGAACTGAAGCAGCGTCTGGCACAAGAACTCTTCTTCTAAATGCTTTCCCTGCAGGTGCTACAGCGTCGTTAGATGCCAGGGTGCTCTCTGAGTGCCCGATAGGGCTCACCATCTCCAAACCCGATGGAAACAACAGACA